TTTTTTGCCACATTGTGAGCACTGGAAGAGCTGCTCCTCCTGCATCGGCCACTCCATGGGTCATGGGAGTCCTATTCTGAGTAAAGCTTTTACTGCACTCCAAGCATTTGTAAGGGTTTCCAAGGGATGGATCCTCCTGTGAATAATTTAACTGTGATCTGCAATCTGTGTTTTTCCCAAAATAGGCAGTCTGTGGGGTCTTTCCAACATGGATATTCTTGGATTCATGAAGGGGGCGAAAAATACTTCTGATCCCTTATCTGGTGACGCTTTGATTCAAAACACTCTTTTCTTCCTCAATGGCTTTCATTAATGCCTTTGGCTCTCCAAGGGATTTTTTCTATTTCACCCTTTTTTTCGAATTTGCTAATTATATAATCATATCTTTTTACTTTTCACATGCAATGTTTTCTTCAATTCCACATAATCTATTTTTCTACCTGAAAATCCTGTCCCTGTTAATCTCTCCTTTATCTCCCTCCATCTACTGTGGAAAGAGAAGAGTTTTAACACTTTCTGGAAGAAGGGGGAAAGATTTTGACCAATGGTTTGTTTTGTCTTTTAATGCTGCTTCTCATTCTCGTTTTCAGACTGCTCTTCTTGGCAGCCTCTTTGTCTATAAGATTCATATGAATGGATTTGTTTTGTTACTGTTTAAAAATGGCTGCAGAACCTGGGGGGGAAAGGCAAAAAAAAAGCATCCATATATTACCATGAAAAAGCAAGAATATCAAAATGCTTGTTTGACCTTTAACATTTAATATGATTCATTAAGCACATAGAAGAGTAGCAAAATCCAACTTCAAACATCCACTCATATTTCAAATCATAAAATTCTCACTTGCTTGGATAAATCACAAATTATTATCATTGCAAGTTGTTATTAAAATTACCTGCAAACACTGACGTTTATATATATGCACACATAAATACCCAACTCTAGGTACAAAAACTATGTGTCTTCAAAATATTTCAGAAATGGATTTCACTCGATTTGTTTGATCTAATTTAAGAAAGGTGGGTACACTAACAGATGAAATGGTGCCCAAATCCTAGGCAAGATTTAAAGCATCCGAATTTTTGCCCACAAAACCCCTCGCTTGCCAGGAAAGCAACTAGTCAATAACATCACAAGGAACCAAATGTGACGCGGAGACCGAAGGAAATAGAAATATGAAAGAAAAAATACTGTTTAAATCTTCCATTGGTAAAATCACAGGCAGCAATTTTAAATCATGCAGCAATAGGATAACAACATTTGGGGAGAGAAAGAATATGCAGCAGCAGCAGCAGCCGCCGAAATGTTTCATTCTTGTTCCTTCGGTGCTTCATGCACCGTGGAGGAAGCCAAAGGGGCGGACTTGCTCCCGGCTTCTCCTCCGACCTGCCCTTCACTCACCTCCCAGGAGCCGCTTCGACCCTCCAAGCAGCACAAGAGGCTCCGCCGACGCCATCACCCTCCCCCAGGTGACCCGGAAGAGAAAGTTCCTCTTCACTTCTTCCAATCCCCTCTAGCAATCCAATCTTCTACCGTTCCGACTCGTTCCATCTCCTTGTGTAGCCGACCCCCAGTAGACTAGCAATGCGACTGCTGTACTACATTCACTGCTTTCTGTCTCGAGTGTTTCTTCTTTCCAGAGCGCCATCTAGTGACATATGGCTGAAAACGACGCTCGTTCTATTTCCACTCTAAAGCGTTTGCAAGAGGCTTTCATCGATTCTGTGCTTCGTTCTGTGCCATCAGTTCTTATTCGATTCCCTTACCAAATTTGCAGATGATACTAAACTGGCAGGAATAGCTAACACCCAAGAAGATAGGCTCAAGATCCAGATAGATCTTGACAGACTAGAACACTGGGCTGTATCTAACAAGATGAAATTCAATGTAGAGAAAAGTAAAGTCCTACACCTAGGCAAGAAAAACCAAAAGTGCACATATAGACTGGGTGAAACCAAGCTCAATAGCAGTAACTGTGAGAGGGATCTTGGGAGTCTTAGTGGACAACCAGCTAGCCAGCAGTGTGCAATAGCAGCTAAAAAAGCTAATGCCATCCTAAGTTGCATTAACAGAAGGATACAATCAAGATCAAGTGAGGTACTAATACCGCTCTATAAAGTCTTAGGAAGACCATACCTAGAGTACTGCATGCAGTTTTGTTCACCACATTATAAAAAAGATGTTCAGACTCTAGCAAAAGTACAGAGAAGAGCAACTAGGATGATTAGGGGACTGGAGACTAAAACATATGAAGAACGGTTACAGGAACTGGGCATGGCTACTCTAGTGAAGAGAAGGACCAGGGGAGACATGATAGCAGTCTTCCAATATTTGAGGGGCTGCCATAGAGAGTAGGGGAGCAACCTATTTTCCAAAGCATGCAAAAGCCAGACAAGGAAGAATGGACAGAAACTGATCAAGGAAAGATTCAAAATAGAAACAAGGAGAAATTTTTGACAAGTGAGAACAATCCACCAATTGAACAGCTTTGCCTTCAGTAGCTGTGGGTGCTTCATCACTGGGTGCTTTCAAGAAGAGACTCAACCACCACATGTCAGAAATGTTATAGGGCGGTGGCACATAGAGCCCTCTCGGTGGCCACATATGCTGTCACCAGGGGAGGGCTTCACAAATTTTTAGCAAAGGGTTCTCTGCCGGGTTGCTGGGTGGGCGAGGCCATGGTAGTTGTGGCCTAGTCAACCTCTTGTACTATGGCGGGAGGGGCATTTTTGCCTCCCTGGGCTCGGGAGGATTTCTTCGAGCCTCCAGGAGGTCGAAAACAGCCTCCCTGGGTTCTGGAGGCTCTCTGGAAGCCAGAAACAGGCCCATTTCCAGCCTTTCAGAACTTCCGGAGGCCCATTTTTCACCCTCCCCGGGCTTCCATGCGTCCTGCACTTACCTGCATCCAAAACAGGCCTACTGGGGACTCCTGGGAGGGGAGGGGTGGGGTGGAGCCAGCCAGGATTGGGATTTGGGGGTTCTCTGAACTGCACAAAATCTTAGCTAGGTGCTCTCCCAACCCCCCCCCCCCAAAAACCCCCAGCGCCCCCCCCGTCACCCCAACCCAGCTCTATTGCATTTCTCTGTCACATTTCTCACTGTCGCTTGCAGGGAAATGAAAGTCAGAAGGACTAAAAAAATGCACGCAACAACATTTTGCCTTTGTCGCAGTACATTTGCTGTTGCTGCCTCCACAGCCTCCTCCCTACACTCACAGTTCCTTGCGCAGCACAGTGAAATCTACTGCAGTGCCCAAGTGGGACCCTTTGTCGCCTCAGCTCACTCTGGCCTCCCGGATGTCAGTTTCCTGCAGAGCTGCCTATGTTGGGATACCCACATATAACACTACAAAGGCAAAAAATGAGTAATACAACTACTGCAAATTCCTTAGCGAAGTGCATCTCGCTGCTGTTGGGCAGAATCCTGACCGAAAGATACAAATGTGAAAAAGGCAAAATGTTGGAAATGCGGTTGGACTTTATCCTGGGGGAGCAACATCAGATTTTTCTTTAAACAGGCCACTAAGAAATTAAAGAAATGCAGAAAGTAACAACTTGAATCTGAATTTCAAGTAATCTGCTAGTTAGGTGGGGAATTAAAAAATAATAATTTTTTTACGAACTCAAATCTGAAGTTTTTTTGCCCAAATATGAGGGAGGAGAAATTAGGAATTTCCTTTGGGCTGAGAAGTGTGATTTCATACCTGAGGAATTATGCTCACTCTGGAGTTTGCGAGAATGGGACCAAGGGAGTGAACTTGGCGCATTTGATTTCGCCACATAGAGGTTTAAAATGTTTGGTGCTGCATACTTGCACTTGGGTGATTTTATTTCTGCTCCAATACTGACACATTTAATTGTAGCCCTTAATGTTTAATTTTGATTAAGTTCAGGGGTTCCTTCCTCTCCCCAGGCGGGGCAGAGGGAGGGACGGAGGAATAGAGGTAGAGGGAGGGAAAGAGAAACAGGAGGGAGGGAAAGAGAAATGATATCACAGAAGTTTTTCTTTTTTATTGTTGCTAAATGTAATATTTCAAAAGCAGAAAAAAAATGAAGCGCACGAAAGTGCATTTATCACGCTTTTCTTATAACAATTAGCTGAACTCTGCCTTATCGTTATTTTAGGTAGTAAAACCTGATTATTCAGATGAAATTGATGTCATTTCGCAATAAAGACCGCATTTTTTCGGTGTGTAAGACCCATTCCCGCCCCAAAAGTGGATGGAAATGTGTGTAGTATACAGTGAATGTTGCTGAAGCCCCTTCCCCCACTGCACCCGCCCCCACTTTGGTCTCTGCCTCCCAGCAATTTGCCTCCTTGAAACAAACAGCAAAAAGCCTGGTCAGCTTCAGCACCAGACTGATTTAGCACAAGCAGCTGATTGTCATTTGAATCTGCCTCCCAGCGATCAGCTGTTTCAGGATGCAGGGATCGCCCTATTGTCGCCTTTGCACACCCCATGTTCAGCCTCTGATCTTGTTCCAGGTGACAGGGATCGGAATGGGCTGAAAATGGGACGGGTGGAGGCCAAAAATGGGGCACATGGAGGCGGCAATAGCGGTCCCAGCTGCCTGAAACAGCTGATCGTCTGGAGGCAGATCCAACTGACAGTTGCTTGTGCTAAATCAGGCTGTGCTGAAGCTGACCAGGCTGTTTGCTGATAGGAGGCAAATGGCTAGGAGGCAGAAGCAGATTTTTCTCGTTTTCCTCCCCAAAATTTAGGTGCATCTTATACCTCTTGAGCGTCTTATACTCTGAAAAATATGGTAAGTGGATTTTGGATTGCAGCTTGGGCACTCGATCGCTAAAAGATTTGCCATTACTGTATAGTCTCCTTCTTGAGTGTTGTGTTGGACTAGATGACATCTACAAAATCCCTTCCATCTTATCTCATGTATTCCTCATTTTTGATACCAGGACAAGTTTCACTAAAAAGAATCATGCAAGTAATTAAATCTTTTAATTGTTCAGCTGGGTCTCCAATGTGAGACAACAAATTTCAAGATTCTGGTACACAAGTCAAAGGTTGCCTCATGTGAAATTTCTTGTGTGTGATAAGGGAGGAATTCCGCGTGAAACACTTTCCGCAATCTGGGCATTTGAATGGTTTCTCCCCTATGTGTAACCTTACATGATTTATAAGGCTAGCCCTACTACTGAAATCTTTCCCACAATCTGGACATTCATATGGTTTCTCTCCTGTGTGAGTCCTCCAATGTAATACTAAACTGAAATTCCGACTGAAACATTTCCCACATTCAACACACTCATACGGTCTTTCTACTGTATGAGTCCTCTGGTGTTTCCCCAGGTCAGAATTGCAAGTGAAACCTTTTCCACAAACTGGACACTGATATGGTGTGTCCCCTGTGTGAGTTTTCTGGTGTATCACCAGATAGAAATTCTGACTGAAACTTTTCCCACAATCTGGACATTGATATGGTTTTTCTCCTGTGTGAGTTTTCTGGTGTATCACCAGGTTGGAATTTTGACTGAATTGTTTACCACAATCTGAACACTGATATGGTTTCTCTCCTGTGTGAGTTCTCTGGTGTCTCAAGAGCTTGGAATTCCAAATGAAACTTTTCCCACAATCAGGACACTCAAAGAGTTTCTCTCCAGTGTGAGTCCTTTGGTGTTCCACCAGGTAGGTATTCTGACTAAAATGTTTCCCACAATCAGAACACTCATAAAGTTTCTCTTGTGTGTGAGTCCTCTGGTGTTTCACCATGTTAACATTCTGACTAAAACTTTTCCCACAATCTGGACACTTATATGGTTTCTCTCCTGTGTGAGTCCTGTAATGCCGCAAAAGGAAGGCATTTTGAATGAATCTTTTCCCACACTGCAGACACTCATACGGTTTTTCACCTGTGTGAATCCTCTGGTGTTTCACAAGGTAGGAATTCTGACTGAAACTTTTCCCACAATGACATTTATATGGTTTCTCTCCTGTGTGAATCCTCTGGTGTTTCACCAGGTCAGAATTGCAACTAAAATCTTTCCCACAATGACATCTACATGGTTTTTCACATGTGTGAACCTTTTGGTGTATCACCAGATCAGAATTAGACTTGAAACCTTTTCCACAATTCGAACACTCATACAGTTTCTCTCCAGTGTGAGTCCTTTGGTGTTCTACCAGGTTGGAATTCTGACTAAAATGTTTCCCACAACCAGAACACTCATAAACTTTCTCTTTTGTGTGAGTTGTCTGATGCTTCACCATGTTAACATTCTGACTGAAACCTTTACCACAATCTGGACACTTATATGGTTTCTCTCCTGTGTGAATCCTCTGGTGCTTCACCAGGTCAGATTTCCAAGAGAAATCTTTCCCACAGTCTGGACACTCATAAGGTTTCTCTCCAGTGTGAGTCCTCTGGTGTTTTACCAGGTCAGAATTGCAACTGAAACCTTTTCCACAATGACGTTTATATGGTTTTTCACCTGTGTGAATCCTTTGGTGTATCACCAGATCAGAAGTAGACTTGAAACCCTTTCCACAATCTGAACACTCATGCAGTTTCTCTCCCATGTGAGTCTTCTGGTGTTTTGTCAGGTTGGAACTCTGACAGAAGCTTTTCCCACAATCACATTTATATGGTTTCTCCCCCATGTGGATCCTCTGGTGTTTTGCCAAGTAGGAATTCTGACTGAAACTTTTCCCACAATGACATTTATAGGGTTTCTCTCCTGTGTGAGTCCTCTGATGTTTCACCAGGTCAGAATTGCAACTGAAACCTTTCCCACAATCTGAACACTCATACGGTTTCTCTTGCATGTGAGTCCTCTGGTGCAACACCATGTCAAAACTCTGACTGAAACTTTTCCCACAATCTGGACACTTATATGGTTTGTCTCCTGTGTGAGTCCTATGATGTCGCAAAAGGAGGGAATTTTGAATGAAACTTTTTCCACACTGCAGACACTCATATGGTTTTTCACCTGTGTGAATCCTTTGGTGTATCACCAGATGAGAATTAGACTTGAAACCTTTTCCACAATGTGAACACTCATA